CCTCGACCTCTCCGACCCGTTCCTCCGTACCCGGCTCCGGGAACGGGGGACGTAGGCGGAGGCCGGGCCCGTCGGCCGGGGCCGGCGGGAACGGGTCGGTTCTCCACTTGGTCCCCACATTCGGCCTCCCAGGACCCGGCTGTCTCCTCTGCTGGAACAGGGTCCCATTTGCCCCCGAATTCCCCAGGGCAGCCAGCACGGAGCCCGCGGGCAGGGTCGGCCGTAAGCGGGGGACAGCCAGCTGAAGGTGGCTGCACCTCGCGGACGCAGCGGACCTGCTGGGAACCGGCAGCGGCCGGGCAGTCGTGTCGTGGCGCTCGAGCACCGGGGACAGGGTCGGGGCGCCTCTCCCTCCCGGCACCCGTCGCCCAGTCTCACCAGGCATATATAACACATTTTTTAAAGTTATCATCAGATAGGTGGGCTGATCAGCTCACTGATCGGGAGGTAAGACAGAAACGACCACCCCAGCCCCCCACCCACCTCGCCCCGCTGAGGTGGGCTCCAGATTCTACGTGTGGTGCGCAGGCTTATTTTTCATCGTAACGGGAAGCAACCACAACTCTCTAAACAAACTCGTTCTTTCACAAAGAAGCAAGTAAAGAAATTGCAATGCCATTTCTGTTGCTCACCGTTTTTTACAATAGTTAGCTTGGTTTGGGGAAAAGGAAGCTCCCAATCGGGAATGTAAGCTCCACAAGGGCACAGTTTTGTGGGCTGTGTTCGCTGACGTATCTTACAAGCCTAGCGCAAGGCCTCGCACGCAGTAGATGCCCACTAACACGCCCGCTACCGCGGTCTCAATGCGTGATGCCAGCTGGAGCTGGTGCACATCAGACACTGGCTAGTGCCCAGCCCTGGAAACCACTTAAGCAATGGCTTTCCTTCCCAGAGCTGCTTTAGACCGCCAGACATCCTAGGATCTAGGTCTTTTCTATATCGCAAACCTCAGTACACAGATGATAGAAACCATAGTTTTGGGTGATGGCTTCCCATATTTGAGGCCTGGGAAGAAGAGGCATTGCAGGAAATGCTTTAAAAAAATGTTCAGTCAGATTTTCTTTTGCGTTTCCTTTTAATAATCAAACATTAGAAAAAGACAGGAAAGGCTATATAGAATGTTGGGTGGTTATCACTAGGGAATTGGCTGATGGGTATTTTTTATTTTTATCTTTGTAATTTTGTGCATTATCTGGTTTTCTGTTTTTATGGTTAGCATTTATTCCTTTTATAATCAACACAAGAAATACCCATTTGGAAACAAAAGCAAACCTAGTGACTTAAAAAAAAAAAGAGAGAGAAGGAATGTAAAGGGTCATGCTGATTATTCGTATAGCTTAGAGCTGTCTGTATTTTCTTCTCCATAGCCCCTAGCCAATGCCTGGCACCACAACTGGCATGCAATAAATACCAGTTGCATGAATGAATGATGAATATCCTTTCCATGATCTCTCTCAGGAAAAACATGTTCATTTAAGTTGTTTTTTTTTCAAGAAGTCTATGCTGTGATTTTTAATACAATGACAGCAATCTGAAGATTTCAGTATAGAAACTTGCCTCAGTTATAGAATCATCCTTTCCTTCAACTGAGTGTCCTCGCTCAGTGTGTACTTTAAGTACGTGTGTATTTAGATAGGCTGGAGTTAGCCCTTATAGCAGCCTGAGACCAGAGCATCTGAAGTTCAGTCAGCGATCATCTGCACATTTTGTAGTGAGCAGCTTCATGGAAAATCCGTCCACGTGCTGACTGCCAGTTAGTTTGTAGGAAAGTCTACAGCTGAAACCTGTGTGGGGTCCGAAACAGTCTTCAGCCCTAAAGTCAAAGCTCTCGGTTTCTGTTTCTTTCACAGTTTTTGACTTCCTGTTTTGAATATGGAAAATTGTGGAGACCCAGGTGCTTCTGTGGACTTCAGTACAGAGAACCGAGCAGGGAGTGGGGGCCTCAGTAGGTTTCAGAGTGTATCTCTAGTGAAGGTTACCTACAGCAGGAAGAAGGCTGCTCCATCCAGCTCCCCTGGAAGAGTAGCCCTAGGAATCAGCATCCCACACTTCCATTTGACCAATTTAGCTTTTTCTGAAAGAGGTCTTGTGACTTCTCATGTGAGATTGTTTTATTCAAGAGGTACCTCCCTGACGGTTATAAAACAGAGGAGAAAACAAACACACTTACTCCTCTGTAGCTCTGTGGTTTAAATATCATTTCACAATTCGAGGGATCCTTTAGGTTGTAGCAAAATGTGAAATAGAAACAAAATATGCCAAACAACTGCAAATCTCTGCTTTAGCCATTAAGTATCCAGTAATTTTTTAACCTTAACCATTCAAAGTAAAAGCAACAGCAGGAACTGGGGAGGTGGGGGTGGTGGTGGAAGAGAACAAAAGACAACTCCCCTGGAATCTCTTCAGTGCCCAGTGATATTTCTAAGAATTTCTGGGACCTAGTCTACAAGCCTGTCTCCTCTGTTCAGTGGCCTTCAGTGCTTCCTGTGCGTAAAAGCTACTTGGAGACTTAGTTTATGATGTAGATTCCTGGGGACTATACTCCGAGGCTGTGACTTAGGCGAGGTGGACTGGGATCCAGGAATCTGTACCGCACACCCTCAAGGCTGCTGCCACTATGCCATGAGATGCTGTCGTGTAAAGTAGAGAAAAGTGGCCCTTCTGCGGAGCTACAACTTGATGAGAATTAGAAAAATGCCAGGCAGATGCAGCCCATGCTGAGGCCTCCAGCTCACCTAGGAGCACAGACTAAGCCAGCCCTGTTCACCTCAGCACCACCTGCCCATGCAGAGCCTTGGCTTCTCAGTAGATTCCAGCGCCAGTGACCTTACAGAGCACACTTTGTAACTCACAGCCCTGGGTATTTTCATTTCTCTTCTGTGAAGAATAACTACAGATCCAATCCCCTTTAGCAAACATTTACTGGGCAGGCGTCCAATGTTTGTGAAAGCCTTGTGTTGGGTTTGGTAGGGTTTAAGGAGCGTCAGTAATTCCCGCTCCACGGCCAGCAGCTCTGCCCATCACTAAATGACCATAGAGGTGTTTTGTTTCATACATCTTTGATACCATGGGAGCAGAGAGAGTGATGAAAAATGTTGGCTGGTGCCACTCAGGAAAAAGGAAAAATGGAGGCAAGGGGAATTTAAATGGGAAACTCGGTGGACAAGCTTTGAAGAGGGACTGTAGCTCCTCTCTTTAGAAAGCTCCTTTTGTGAAATGACCTCAATGCCCAGAAACCTTGCAGGATTTGGCTTACATTTTAAACATCTTAAACATCTTAATTTCACCCATTAGTCTTAGTTATGACCAACCTTGTACCTGACTCCCCTGCCTTGGAACACCTTACTCTTGAGAAGGACAGACCATTATCTTATTAATGTATTAATTGGATTGACATCAATATTATTAATTTAATCAATCTGGGTACTAAATATATCACTTAGATTAACTTTTCATTTTTTTACTTTGATTAAAACATTTGCATTTCATAATTTCTCATCTCAAAAGCTGATAAATGTGAGGTGAGGAGGTTATCTTTCTTTACACATTTATATAAAGCACCAGAATTTAATTTTAAAGCATTCTAGTCTGTTTTTCTTACTTTCATACTGAAAATTCAAGGATTCTCATGTTTAGTAGCAAAATCCTGTCTTCTATTTCCAATGGCAAGAAAACCAACAATAAGCAAAATAGTTTCAAAACGCAAAGAAATTCGACTGGCACAAGCAAGCATGCCTGTGAATGAAATAGAGTGAAATTAATGATCAAGTTAGTAAACATAGGCCTAATATGTGTTCCTGCTGAAAGCCAGAGTTGATGAAGGATTCAAAACATCTTATACTACTTTAAAAAGCGTGGCATCTCCCATATGCCTGGCACATGTTGAATTTGACTAAATTGACTAAATTTAAGCAGTTAGATAAGAAAACATTGGTCTTTCAGCTGAACCTTAAAATACAGCATGTTAGAAATTAAAAAAAAAAGGAAATCAAATACTGGTAAAGAAGGCTTTTTTTTTTCAGTGCTAAGATAAGCTTTTAAAGAAGTGCTTCATTTCAAAGTACTTACAGTTAAGAAGTAGGTTCTTGGCAGGCTGTGTCTTGGGCTTGAGCGAGAACCTCACTGGAAGTGAATGACACAGGCAAGAGAGAAGTAAGTGTGCTCACATTCCACTATATGCTACAAAGTACAGATTTGAGGTTTTTATTGGCCAATGCAATCCAGGCAGAACAGTTTTCAAGATACGTTTTTGTTATCTTGAAAATGAAAGTATTTCCTTGCCAAAGTGGGTGTTCCTTCTTTTTTGTTGTGTTAAGTACACTCTTGTATCTTTTTAGGGGTGAAAAAAAGATGTTTCATTATATAATTTGATTGGTTTTTACATGCTGGCAGAGCTGACCAAGTTTTAAATTTTACTTTCTCCCTTTAATACAATAAACAAAGAAGATTTAGTGTGCATTTATTGCCATTTTAAAATCGAGGAGTTTGTAGGTAGAGTTTGGGAGAAAATAGACTATCTGGAATTTCGTACCTAGTCAGATGCTCTTCTTTTTTCCTTCTGTCTCTTTGGACTCCTTTGTTTGTTCTCCTTAGCATTGATTAAATGCCTTCTATGTGTTAGGCACTGCAGTTAATGCTTTCCATGTATTACTGTATTGAATTCTCCCCACAAGTCTGTGGGGTAGGTATGATTCTCACCCCCGCTTAACTGGCAAGGAAACTGAGTCACAGCAATGTTAAGAGGCTACAAGGTGACAGCTAGGAATTGGCTGAAACGGGACTGTAATCTGTGCACTTACTTCTGACCTCACTGCACCATATCCCGCCTCATGTTCTCACGCACAGTCTAACGCCAGCCTGGCTCTAGTGGAAAAACCCTGCTATTCCAAATGATCTTGGAGGGAGTGAGAAGCCTGGCCACTCTCATTTCTGAAAGGCTTCAATTACGGAATCAGTAATCTAAAGGCTATGAGCAAGTATTTCAGAAGGAAGAAATACAAAAGTTAAAAAAAAATGGTATAAAGAAATTGGATGTGATGTAGTAAAAAGAGCCATGGTTTGTAGCTGAGCTGATAGGGGATAAAATCCCACCATGAAACTTGTTAGCTGTGTGGCTTCTGAAGGTCAAAAAAATCTAAGCTTTGGTTTCCTCACCCCTAAAGTTAGAAAAATAGGCTTATCTACCAAAATCACTAAGGAGTCATTGGTAACAGTCCATTTCAATGTTCAATATGTTAGCTGATACCACCGAAAGACTCTCGAGATACCGGCTATAATCTGATACAGTGATCTCCTCCCCACCCCATAGAGATGACGTCCAGTCTTGGCAAGGTTTTGTAAAATGGATGATTGATGTTTTTAATTTTTCAAAATCAAATCAGTCTCATTGATTTTTTTGGTGGCATGATAAATTGGTACTCTGTCTTTGAAAGGCAGTATTGCCTATAAAGAATATAGCAGAATCAAAAAATATACTTATCCTTTGACCTGGCAATTTCACTGAGTGAGTATTTTCTTTAAAAAAAATTTTTTTTAAGGGGGCAGGTAATTAGGTTTATTTAAAATGGAGATACTGGGGATTGAACCCAGGACCTTGTGCATGTTAAGCATGCAGTCTGCCACTGAGCTATACTCTCCCAAGAGTAAGTACCCTACATTTTCCATCTATAGGTTCTTTGTCTCACCCTGGTTCTAGGCTTGAATGAATACGGGAAAAAAAGAGTCAAATCATGTTAAGCTTCTGTTTAGTATTATGCTGGCAGAGTGATGAATAAAAGAGCTTAACCATCCGGTCTATCCCTTTGATCTTTGCTGGGGGCAACTGGGGAAGGACACACAATAACAATGAATTCTATGTGAAGTAAACTTTCCTAAACATTTAAAAGAATTTTGAAACAGTTTGATGTCATTGCCACCAGCTGCTTTCTGGGAGGCAGGAGTGGAAGGCCTGTGAGTTGGTCATAGTGGCAGGCAAAGAAATGAATGAAGACTATCCAGTAGAAATTCATGAGTATTTATCAGCATTTGAGAATTCCATTGATGCTGTGGGTGAGATGCTGAAGACCATGTGTGTTTCTAGCAACGAACTGTTGCAGAAGTTGGACCCACTTGATCAAGCAAAAGTGGATTTAATTTCTGCTTACACATTAACTTCAATGTTTGGGATTTATTTGGCAACTCAGGGAATTAACCCTAAGGGACATCCAGTTCCCTCTGGGAACCAAAACCTAAAAATGCATCCAAAGTTGCTCATAAAGGAAAAAGTAAAAATTAACCTTTTGGTTTTGATGTACACATATTCAAAAAGTATATCATTTTTACTGTTTTTCCACAAATAGACGATGGTCATTATGTGGCACTGCAAGGCAATTCAATAAATGCATTCCTTATTGAATGCTTATATAAATTTACACTTTAAATTTGTAACGCTGCATACTTTTCCCTCCCAGAAAAATTAAGTTGTCTTCATTGATTTTCCTATAGAATACTATGAGATTTTAAACATTGTGGTATATTTTATATTTTTAGTTTACTATCTCTTTTGATGACTTAAAATTTTTTTTAAATTTAAGTATAGTCAGTTTAAAATACTGTGTTAATTTCTGGTGTACAGCATAGTGATTCAGTTGTACATATGTATATATCCCTTTTCAGACTTTTTCATTATAGGCTATAACAAGATATTGCACACAGTTCCCTGCGCTATATGGCAGGACCTTGCTGTTTATCTATTTTATATATAGTAGCTAGTATCTACAAATTCCAAACTTCCTATTTATCCCTTCCCAGCCCGTTTTCCCCCTGGTACCCACAGGATTGTGTTCTATTTGACAAGACTCTTATTTCCTTATACAGGTCAATCTTTCAAGTGCTACTTTAGAAGCAACTATGAAATTTAAGTTAAATATTCTTTGTGAACATTTATCTATTTTTGATGAATAATGACTGTATGAAGTATGCTAAAGTTATAAATACATCAGTTTTCACTATATAATATTAAGAAAGAATGAAATGACTTAATATCCACTTTTTTCCTGTGTAGTTATTTCATTATGCTTTCCTGATTTGGGGAATTATTGCTTTTTTGATATTTGAAGTGTGGAATGAAGACTTTAAGGTTATTTTTCAATTCCTGGCACTTTGACACTATGTCCTATTTGAAGAAAAATATATTCTCATTAACTTTAGATGGGAAATGAGGTTTCTATATAGATGGCTGAATTTTGGCATAATGGCTATACCCTATCAATAAAGCTGTAAATGTGGAGCTGACCTGTTTATTTTTCCTCTTTTGAGTAAATTTGTCCTTGAAATTAGGAAAATAGGTTTTAGAAATTCTTAGGAATAGAGAAATTCATGTATTTTGTTCCCTATGCACAGTGCCCACAGTTCTCTTGACCTTGCTTTTTCATATTTTTAATATTATATATTTCTGTGGCTATAGCAAGATATAAACAAGTGTTTTAAAACAATTTTCTGTTATATGACGCCACTTAAGCAGAGGAAAAATCCAAAGGAGAATTGCATCATGTTTATATTTTGATTTATTTTTCTGGAATATGTTAGAGAATTCTAAATATTAAAATTTTTTTTATATCTAAGTCCATGAATTTTATTTTTTTATTTTTGTTTTTAATTTTTTAAACTTTTTTTATTGATTTATAAGCATTTTACAATATTGTGTCAAATTCCAGCATAGAGCACAATTTTTCAGTTATACATGAACATATATATTCATTGTCACATTTTTTTCTCTGTGAGCTACCATGAGATCTTGTGTATATTTCCCTGTGCTATACAGTATAATCTTGTTTATCTATTCTACAATTTTGAAATTCCAGTCTATCCCTTTCCACCCTCCGTCCCCTTGGCAACCACAAGTTTGTATTCTATGTCTATGAGTCTGTTTCTGTTTTGTATTTATGCTTTGTTTGTTTTTGTTTTTGTTTTTGTTTTGTTTT